AAGCAATGTGACTGACACTGGATCAAATGCCTATCAAGCCTGGATCGCTATCAAGCACCTATGCAAATGCAAAATGCAAGCAAACATTAATTAAAGTGGTGATGAGTGTACAGAGGAGGCATTGTCTTAAGGTGAAGTATAACATAGAGGCGCTGACTCAACAAATGAGCAGAATGTGGAGGCATTGGCTCGAAGGTATAAGTGTACTACGAAGGCATTAACTCAAATAATTAGCGTAATATGGAGGCATTAGCTCAAATAAGTGAGAATACCATAAAGGCTTTGACCCAAAGGATGACCATACCATGTAGTCATTGGTTTGAAGGTGTAAGCATATCATAGAGGCATTGACTCAAAAGTGTGTGTGTTTAGTGAAGGCATTGAATCAAGGATGAGTTTAATTTGGAGGTATTGACTCAAATGGGTGAACATTTTATGAAGGCATCAACTCAAGGGAATGAATATGTCAAGAAGATAGTGACCCAAAAGAATGGGTATGCCAATGAGGCAGTGACCCAAGTGCAACTACAAGAACATGGGATGCAAACAAACAACACATACAAGATGCAACAAATGATCATGCAAAGTTTCATGCAAACAATGCTAATGAGCATACTTACACATATGCACCATGCAAATGAAACTAGCAGTTTGACCCAAAGGGTTGACTGGGGTGGTCAACTCAGGGAAACATGATCAACGGGGTCGGTCAGGTCGGGGTGGCCGACAGTACCGAGGTGAATGATTGACCAGATCAAAGTGGCCAATCTAACCCCAATTTAAGGTTGATTGTGATGGGGCAGTCGATTGAACTAAATTGCAAGGTTGACCACAACAAAGCAGGCCAGTCGAACCAATATGAAAGGCTGACCGTGTCAGGGTAGCTAGTCAAATCAATATGCATGGTTGACTGTGTTGGGGCCACCAATCAAGTAAATATGTATGTTTGACATTACTGGGTTGCCCGGTCGAATGAAAAGGCAAGGTTGACCATGTCAGGGTGGTAGGTCGAACTAAAATGCAATGTTGATCGTATCAAGGCAACCAATTGAACTAAAAGGCATGAGCAACATGCATCACTCAAAACACACATCATAATAAAACATACTATGCAATGCAATAAATCTGCATGTTAGCAATCCACACTCGCTCTAATGTACTCACATGTGAATCTAAGTTGAAAGTATGGATGAAGTTGGAGATGTTAGTTTGTTGCTCAACAACAAAGGGCCTACCTCTAACCAATTAACATATATGGAAGGATTTTACATGACTAGGAAGGATGCTCATTCAGCATGACCATACCCGAATTAGGCGTGGTCAAGCCAGGCCTGAGGGCTTAAAGCCCTAAAAGTTTGAAGGGTGGCATAACCTCGCCCGAAATTGGCATTGTCAAGCCAGAGCCCTAGCATGGATATTCCACTTTGGTGGCATAATTATACCATGTGCTCTATCTTGAGCATGGTTTCAGGTCCTTTTGGCGTGACCACGCCATAACTGGGCAAGGTCACGCTAGTTCAAGTTTATGGTTTCTTTCCCTGCGCGCAGCGGAGATTCTGGACTCTTTTGACCTTGGAAGGTCCTAAATAGATGGGAAAGGATCAATAGACATCCAAGAAGGCCCATGGATGTGATGTAAAATCAAAATAACCCCTAAAACAACGACCACCCCTGGGCAACACAAAATTGTCCGAAACCTTAATTCTTACCCAGCAGTGCTTGAGGGCGAGTCTTGTTACTTTATTGGGCCATAAATAGGTCCAGATTGATGGGGAAAGGTCCATAAAATTTGAAATGAATGTTAAATATGTCCCAAGCAAAATTCAACTACATTCTACGGTGAATTTACCCGGGTAGTGCAAAACTTGGTATCGATCCATTCCACCAGGAGGTCCAAATAGATATCTTGAGCTTCAAGATGGTATGAATGGAAGTCAAGTCATCCTAAATCATTCCAGTAGATATCCTACATGTGTGACATCAAAATTTGATGCCAAAAAACCTTATTTTTAAAGAGAGACCCATTCCAGTGTAGGGTTGAAATAACATTTTCATTTTTTTAATAATTAAGTGACCAAGTTGGCCTAGAGAATAATCAAATAAATTTGAGTAAAAATAAATATTTATGTTCAAAATTATAAATAATGAATAAGAGCAGTAGAAGGAGAGTGAGACAGTTCCACAATTTACCTATCCTTTGATAGTTGATGCTTAGGATGAGGTATACATATGATGCCTGAGATGAGGAATAGGCAGGCATGTGAAGTTGGGATCAAGAAAACAGGGAATATCAATCCATCCCTTGTCATTTCACATAAGAATGTTATATAATTTGTACTTAAAAAAATAATAAAATTACTAGAAGTATTTCATTAGGTAAGAGACACAAGCCTATAAATCTATATGCTATTAATCTCCTTTATCCCATCAGTGAGAACAATTGTCTTTCTTTAGGTCATAAATGTTAGAATTGGTTGGTAACTCCAAGGAGTTAGAAATGGGTAATGAAAGTGTAATAGGGTTTAACAATTGAATACTCAAATAATATAGTCAGATAATACGTTGTTAAATATTTTTATTGGAATTATAAGAAATTGGATTTTTTTTATGCTATATATATTTATTATTTTTTACAGTATATGAATTCTTAATGTTTTTAGTAAGGGAGCGGGTATTGTACTTTCCAAAGATTTATGAATCACTCATACTGTGTTGAATGAATTGTTTGATTAGAGATATAAAGCAACGTCTATAAGATCTTGTTGTTTATAAATGTCATGATATTGCATGACTGTTACCCTTCTTACATCTAAAGGCATATCCAACAAGCCAAAGTAATTTTGTTTTATAAGCACTTACCTATGTTGCTTAAGCAGTTAAAGTTATTTAATAACATACATGAATTATTTTCCTTCTCCCTCCTTGGAAGAAAAGAAGGGTCATCACAAAAGGTTCCAAGGGCTCTATACAATGAGTTGTTCAAAATTTTAATAAGAAATTAATTAATTAAAATTTTCTTATATAAATTGTCTATTGTTTGCTTTTTTTTTCATATTTTGTAATGACAATTGTTAAGTTTAAGCAGCACAATACATCATATACCCAATTTCAAAGAAATATATTTTAGAAGTTACACCAATTCACATACAATTCTATAAAGTGTTCATTTATTTGAAAAAATTATTTCACAAAAATATAGAATTATAGGTCCATTTAAATGTACATTGCTTCTCTTATACTATAGGTCTTTAATGTAGATTTATTTCACAACATACATACTACTTGTGCATTTACATCTATTGTGTTACGAATGTTGTTTTATGATTCTTCAATTGGACTGTGTATTATTATGCTTCTTATGTGGATTTCTTCAAATGATATAATGTTTGATATTTTGATATGTTATTAGCTTTTGTTCTACTCTGTTTTGTGAAGCGAATTTATTATCTGCCATAGTTTTAATTGTTGTATGTTTTAGTTATTGTGATGGTTAGAGAGTTGTGTAATGGTTCTCTGTTGTGTCAACTTATTTGTTTTTATATACTTGTACAAAATTATTATATCAATTAATATTATAGATATTGGAAAACTTTATATTGTATTCACTATAGCTACGTCATAATAGAACATTGTTCAATCATAATTTAAATATTGCACGAACTATATTTGAATCTTATTCGAACTCTACTCAACTTTATTTAAACCATTATCTAAAATAGTTTGAACTTTGCTCAAACCATGTTCAAATCTTATTTGAACCCTAAGTAAACTATTTGAAATAAATTCGAATAAGTGACAGTCCAAACTCACCCATCGAGATATTTGTCTATTTTAGCCTAATGGTTTCACGATTTTTTCCTATTGGTGTAACTTTCCAAAAGGCCACCCATCCTAGGGGTGCTCCCATGCGAGCACACAACTTTGAAGTTTCTATCGAAATTCAGATGTTACACCAAAAAGGCACCTCAATGTTTTGGAATTCTATTTTAATCTACTTGAGGATTTTCATAGAATATAGTTAAAACTTTACTCCTATCATATTCCAACCTTATTTGAAACGTACTAAAAATATATTTGCATCTTTTTGGAACATATTTGAACCTTTTTCAAACATTATTTGAGCATAGTTCTAACAAGATTTCCAGAGAGTTTGAATAAAATTAGAACTTTTCTCGAAAATATGATTCAAACTGTGTCTGAATTTTTTTTAAGGCTTATTCAAACTATTGTCTGCACTAGACTTCGTAAATATGTTGCGTTAAAAATGCGATAGTATTTTAGTCTAATATAAATTTTGGGTATTTCCTCAAGAAAATAAACATTTAACATGTTTTTTCAGTTTCATCTACCTTGAGGCCTTCATAGTCAAATTTATGTTTTATCTTTGGAGTTGTAGTCATTCATTCAAAGAGAAACCAAAACTTATTTGCTAATTAGGGTGAAGAAAACTATAATCCTTTAAAACGTTTATGGTGAAAAAATAAGAATTTTTTGATTATTTACTACGATTACATTGTGCGGCATGCTTCTTTGAATTCAAGTTGCTCCAATTAGCTGACATTTTACATCTTTCGTTGTCATTTCTCTAGGCCTTTGTTTTTAGAAAAGCGCACACACAAAATAATAAAATATTTGATAGAATCACTTCATGAATTGAAAAAACAACCTGTATTAAAATTAGAACTAATATGCACGGTGCTTATAAGTTTCAAAATAATAATAATAATAAAAAACCTGCATTCTTTGAATATTTACTAAGTTAGACGCACGTTAAAGTACAGTTAAGAAAATAACAATAAATGCTCAAAGCTTAAATAGAAAATCTAATTATGGTTTTAATTTGATTTTTTTTTTTTTTTTTAAATATTAATTACGTTTTTTTTAACTTTTAATAATAAAGAAAAAAAAAACAAATAAAAAAGAACATAAACAACCCCCATCCTTCGACTGAAAGAATAGAAAATTTAAGTACACTAAATTAAAAAGAAAATTCCCCCAAAATAAAAATCAATAGAAAATAACTTGAGAAGGTGTCAGCCTTCATACGAATAAACTCAAAACAAATGCCAAATTTCCAGTAGTAAATTACACTGACGAAATAAAATTTATTACAAATTGAAATGCTAAAACAAACAAATTTTAAAAATAAAATAAAGTAAGACCTGCACAGCTAACTTTCTCTCTACAGCAACAAAAATCTAATCAGGCATGCCAGACATTTGGTGAAGGACTGCAAGTTGGTAATCCATCAAATTTATGGCACTCAAAATATTCCAAAATAAAATGTTAATGTGTTCATATTTCATGAAATATTTGGATTAAAATGTCACTTCTATACGCATATTTCACCATTGCAGCTACACTCATCCCTTAATGGTCGGCAATAGTTGCATTATGGCCAGAGCAGATACAAGGGAGATCAGGGCCACCCAGATCCCTCTTTACAAGGCGCTTGTCTCGGTTAATCATCAATTTTATCAGGGCAAGCTTGGAAGAAACTTGGTGCCATATCTCATTCACAGTTCCATTTGGATCATCATACTCGAAAAAGTGTCTTACCTAAATGAAAACAAAGACATTATCAAGTAAACTCCATGAAAAGTGAATCTTTTATGTATTCCCGATTTTAATACAAAAAATGATGACTTAACTAGCGCTATAATTCTCAAATTATTAGTTACAATTCTATCATCACATTATCATGAGATCATTAATGATCCGTTTGGGGAGATTGTAGCTTTTTATAAAGGTGAATGTAAATTTTTTTATGAAAAAATAACATGTTGTAAAACTATTGTAAGTATTATAAATATTTTCAATAAAATTCTTATTGCCACTACAATTTAATAAATTCGGTGTCCTCAACATAAAATTTTAAATAATAGAAAAAAAAGTAGCCAACCGTAAATGTGGCTGCAAGCTGAAAAATAAAACAATGAGAAAACTGTCCCAATCAGACCTTAATTTATTGCTTAAATTACATCTTGCATAGGAGATTTCTTTTTGTCAATAACCAAATGATAGATATGAAAGTTCAAGTACAAAGATGTCAAAAGAAAACTTCAATTTTGAAATAATGAGAAGAATGGGAATCACCTGATCAGAGACTCTGATCACTAATTTGAAACACGAAGACCACATAGCAGAAAAGAGCTTCGGTCAATTGGAGACTTCTATAGCCAATTTTAAAAGGAAAATGATAAAATTAAGAGAAAACCGAAAAGCGCCTAAAATCTATTTGTGAATGCCGAACTCCAAGTTCCTGTTAATCAAACTTTGATGATGTAGAAAAATAAAAGTCAATCTTATTTTTGAGTTTTGAGCATATCATTCAGCACGAATTGGAGGGTAATACGGATAATATATATATATATATATAGAC